GCCCAAGTGGGTGGAAGCCTGGGGGGGGGGAGACAAAATCCTTTGTCTGAACGTTGTGAATGAGAGCTGGGAGGTGTTGGTGTTTTCATCTGGTTTAACGCTGTGTGGTGTTGCAAGGACTTGTAATTAACCAAGGACTGTAAATACACTTAATAGTTGTAGCAATAAAGCCTCATTTTATTTGCTTACGACTGGAGTGGTTTCTGACTGCTTGACAGCTGGAGAGCTGAGGCAGGAGTTTCAACAGGTTCCAGATGGGAAGAGAAGTCTGGAGGCATGCAGGAGAAGAGTCAGCTTTTCCTATCAACTCTGCTGCATGGTAACACTATTGCAACACGCATTATCCACCATACTGACAGAAAAGATGGTTTGTTGGTGACATCATACTTTTTTGATTAACCTGTTTTCCCTCCCACAACATGATTTCCACAAAGATACATTCCTCTGCAATAAGACTTGCATTCAAAATCAAATAATGTTTGCCTTCCAACGGACCAATTAGAAAATGAAGCATGCAAAATGCAGAAAATATAGGAAAGAAAAATTCTACACTTGGAAAAATTGGTGTAGTTCACCACTTGTGGGAGCTGTTCTTTGAAAAACATGCTAAACTGTTGTTTTGCTCAATGGAGTGACAAAGTAAAATTGCTGATACTAGTGGTGTAGTCAGAAAATTATGTAAAGACTAGGCTCAACTGCTTAATTAAATTGAAAGTCAAAAGGACAGATCAGAAATAGATTTATTCCCCAAACATTTTATTACATGGTCACAATGGTCACAGTGTAGTCAAAGGGGGGATGCAGACGGGTGGCCATGGGCCGCCCTGAGAAGTGGTGGATTAGAGCTGAGGCTGCCTCACACCTAGGCCCCAATCCAATCTTTTTCTGGCCCTGGAAGGAGCACTAAAATAGTCTCCTTCTTCAAGTCACGGAAAGGGCGCTTGAAGAGGTGGTGTGCATCTCTTCATCATCTCTTCCATCGCAGCATGTCCGGATGCTGTGATGGAAGGACATCATTGGAGTGCCCGCCGTGTGCAATGGCAGGTGCTCCGATGACATCCTCAGGAAGGGGTTGGGGCGCCCAGAGTCTGGCTGCACCTCCCCTTCCTTGGCTTGAAGACAGTGCTGTGCTCCATCTGAAAAGCCCCAAAGTCAGCTAGCTTTTTGTCCAAATGATTTCAAAGGATTGAATAATGTGGTTAAATCTTGTTGTTAACTGTGGTTAAATCTTGCTGTTGAAATCAATGTGTATAATTCCATATGTATTAAGTAAGAAGTAAGCCCTATTGTGTTCAGTAAGCCTTACTCTCAGGTGATGCTGCTGCTGTTTACCTTGTCATTGCCTTAGCATCCAGAACATAGGAAGAGGCGCAACACATAACAGTAATTAAATTATATGTTGTTCCTTATCTACTATTGAATGAGCCCATATCCCTGTATATATAAAAGTAACTAAAATCATGCATCTAAAAGTATGAAGTTTTGACTTGACAACCTGCAGTCTTCATGCAATGTTATTCTCCATTTGCAGGAAAAGAGAATTAATGAGAAACAATTAGGCTATTTGTAACTGTTGTTGTTGTTGTTGTTAACAGCCTCTAGTCTGCCCTAAATCATAGATGAGAGGTGTGCATGTGCCTTGAAGTTGCCTGTTGAATTATGGCAACCCCAAAATTTTATAGGGTTTACTTAACAAGGAATATTCAGAGGTGGTTTTGCCAGTTCCTTCCTCACAGGAATTCATGGGGAATAAACAGGGACAGGAACTTTACTGTGTTTAAAAAACAAAACAAAAACAAAACCCAATC